ACACTAGCTGTCACCCACCCCCGGGGGCTGTGTGTGGGAGTGCTACACCCCAGAGACAGGCTGACAAACCCAACCTCCTGGGGGTGTGATCTCCTGAGGTTCTGGGGTGGCTCAGGCTGTGCTGGGAGGGACAGGGAGAGGTGCTTAAAGCAGGTTGAAAAGGGTCTCCCGGGAGGCCGCTCATGGAGAGTCCGAAGACGCTTTGGGCAGGAGAGAGGGGAAGGGACAGGAAGTGTCTGTAGCAGGGAGCGGCTGTTTAGCTGCAGAACCGATCCTGGTCAATGCAAGGTGGCCTGGAGGGAGAGACAGACAGACAGACAGACAGGTTCAGAACTGGAGCACTAGAAAGACACCGGACAGTCCTGCAGGACTCTGACCCCAGCCCAGAGAATGCTCCGGAGTGGTGAGGAAACTGAGGCAGGAAAATGTGCACAGGGTTCATTGTTGGTTGTTTTTGATTAGATGTGCGCGTTTCTCGTGAGCTCAGTGGTGGTTCCGAATCCTGTGCAAAGTATCCTGTGCTCTAAAGAGTTCACCAGGGCGCCCACACCGCTGGAGTTCTGGGAGAGGGGGTGCGGAAGCTACCAGGGAGTCGGGGGGTGGGTCAGCACTGGGCCCAGGGGATGGGCAGTTGGAGCCGAGGGCGCAGCTCTCAGGAAGGGGTGCTACACGGAAGAGCTGCACCCCGAGAGTGTGCCTAGAGAGGCCAGGCCGGGGCAGTGCCCGGACTCTGGTCAGACTCTGGAGGCGTAAAGCACATGGAATCCAGTGCTTGGATCGGCTCCTGGCAGTGTGGGAGGGAGCATGGGAAGTCCCTGGCCGGAAGGTCCCTTTCTCAGTAGATTGGGGCTCTGCCCATCTCAGGCGTGTGCAGGGTGCTGATGGGTGGGCACCTCTAATGGCTGCTGCACTCGGACTCGGTTCTAACTCTTCACAGATGCAAATCTCACCCCCGCCATGAGGGGGCCGGTGCGGGGCAGGGTGGTTCTGCTGCCACCTTTAATCTCAATCTAACGGATTCAGCACCAGATTCTCCAGCTAATCCCTCATTTTGCCTTGAACTGGTTGTCTCTGTACCGTATTTTCCCAGATAGCAGCTCACTCCTACACTGCCTTCTAGCAAATCCTGTATTTCTCCCAGGAACTGTAGCACCCCCAGCTACCATCTTCACGCTCAGTCCACTGCCCCGCTGCTTGCTTTCACCCCAACCAAGGTAAGGTGTGTCCCGCAGAGACAGGGAGGTCTTAATGCCCCTGCACAAGGCCCTGGTAAGGCCTCATTGGAAATACCATGTGCAGTTCTGGTCACCCAAGCTCAAGGAAGATGAATTCCAGCTGGCCCAGGTGCTGAGAAGCGTTACTAGGACGGGCAGGGAACGCAGGGCCTAGCTTCCAAGAGAAGACTGGACGTGCTTGGCTTGTTTAGTCACAAAAGAAAGCTGAGCAGGGCTCTGACTGCTCTCTGTAGACACGTTGGGGGGGGGGGTGCACCCCAGGGAGGGAGAGGAGCTAGAGAAGCTGCAGGACAAAGCTGGCACAGAACAAATGGGGATCAACAGGCCAGGGGTAAACTGAGGCTGGAAATCCCAAGTAGGTTTCTAACCATCAGAGGAGTGCGGTTCTGGAACAGCCTCCCCGGGGGCGGGGACGCAAAGAGAGAGCTGAGGTGGTGGCAGGGATGAGCCAGGAAGAGGAGCTTGGGATTGGGAAGGGTCTAAGCAGGGCAAGCTGGTGTTTGGAGGCCAGGGAGGCTGCAGTCATCGAGCTGGGAGAAGACGAGAGCCTGGATGGGTTAGAGAAGGGCAGCAAAGCGGCTCTTAGAGATTAATGCCACCCCGTTTAGGTGACACTGAAAGCACACGGGTGCAATACTGTCCCACGAGGCAGTGAGGCCCTCTGTGGCATTGCCTGGGCATGACACAACTGTGAATGACAGCACTAGGGGCATGGAGGCGCCGCACCAGGGCACGGGCACCAAGGGCTCTGGGGCCCAAATTCATCCCTGCTTCACGCTGATTCCTGCAGGCTGGGTGCAGGGCGCAGGGCTCCCCCTGGCTGCACAGAGCCTGCCGGAGGGGCTTGGCGAGCAGAGGTGGCTCCATCCTGCCCTCCGCAGGGGGTAGCGCTGCCCAACGGCAGGACACTGCTGGCAGTGAAGGATTGTGGCAGGGCTGCCCAGCCGCAGGGGAATTTAAAGCAGCTCCCAAAGGCAGACAGAGATGGAAATACGGCCTGCCCTCCCTAGGGTGAATGCTCCTGCCAAGGCACAGGGACCAGGCTGGCACAGGGAGGTACAGTTGGTAGCTCGCTGTGCCAGGATTGTGTCTGACTTTCCTCCTCCCATCCTCACTGTTTCTTCCGGCCCAAAGGGCAGGGTCCAGCCACTCCCGGGGGCATTTCTGCAAGCTGGGCCTAAGGACGATTGCAGTATCATTTCCCTCCCTTAGTCAGTAACTAGGAGCGAGGGCACCGGTCTCCTCAGCTGCCTGGCACCCTGCCACCCTGTTGGTTAGTACCAGTCAGTAAGGGGCGGGGGCAGAGAGCGACTGGCTGGTTACCCAGCAGGAGCCATGGCGCTCGCTGCCACAATCCAAAGCCCTCGGTCACCATGGGGAGAGAAGGGCACAGCGAGGCGTCCCAGAGGAGCACCCATTTGGCTGGCTGGCTCCTTGCCACCCCCACAGCCCGCTGCTCAGAGAGAACGTCTCTGCCCCCCGTTACCCTGCTTTGATGGCAGGAGGAACAGGGCTCCTCTGGCCCTTGGACGGTGCCCCCGTGCCCAGGAGCAAGGCTGTCTCCTCCCAGGTGTTTGAGAACTTGTGTCGTTTGCAATGAACGGGCCTTGAAATCGAAGTCCCTGGCAAAACGGGACCCAAAGCAGGGTCTGGAGGGCAGAGCGATGCCTGCGCGCCCCTCTGAGCCGGGCGGTGGCTCTGCACGCAGTCACACACGGCAGCCGGCTGTCTCTTGGGAGGGTGACTGGTCTCTATTGAAAAGTGCCGGACACAGAAAGCACGTCAGAGCAGGGACAAGCTAGGTGACCCGCAGACCAGTGTCAAGGGGGTTAGACAGGGTTTGCCAAAGGGCTCAGAGCAGGTTATGCCCAAAGCTGCCTTTTGGAGGGAAGGTAAATGAGATGCGCAAGGGAATTGGTTATTGGTTTACAAGGCTGTGCCGTCGCGCCTGTCACCCACACAGCACCGCCCTGGGGTCTGGGTGTGGTGTTACAGGGCTTCTTTTCAGTCTAGCGCCCCCTGGGGTCATTCTGGTGCCACAACACTCTGTCGTGTCTGGCCTAGCCCTCCAGCCAGGTCACTGCTCAGCCCAGTTCCCTTCCAGGTTAGCAGGAAAGTCCCAATAGGAAACCCCAAAATCTAGTGGCTTTTGATCCCAGTCCTCAATCTCCATCTGGGGCCCACCCTACTTGGCCTCTTCTCCTTCTGATGCCTGTACCTTCCCCCTGCCGTGGGGAATGGTGGAGCACCTGGGCCCGCCCGCCCTCTCCTCTGGCTTCCAGCCCAGGGCCCGTTTAGGCGCCAAGGACTGTTCCTTGCATCCTGTCACCATTTTCCCTGGGCCGCTCCCACCTTCTGCCCAGCTTGTTGACATCTGGCCCCAGGCCTCTGGATGCTGCTCTTCCCGCCTGGGATCTGTGGTTCCTCACCACTTCTCTGGCAGTGACCCATCCCCATCCGCCGCTCCCAGCCTAGCTTGCAGCACCTGGGCTGTGATGAAGAACTCCCCTAGCTCCTGCCTGCGACTAGTCAGTCCTTCCCTCCTCCGAGCAGGAGTTTCCCCCCAGCCCTGCCGCGGAGCCGGCCTCGTTGGCTTTGGACAGCCAGCCCGACCCGCCTTAAAGCAGCAGGTCCCTCCCTGTGGCTCCCGTTATGACTTAGGTTGGCTGCAAGGCTTTTGCCAGCTCCCTCCAGCTGAACCCCCTTGCCAAGTAGTCTTCCCTTCTGTAGGGCTCCGCAGAGCAGCCTTCTCCTGCTAGTGCCTGCCTGCCGGGAGGGTGGGATGAGGCAGCCTTCATGCTGCTCCCCGGCTCCCAACGCTCGGTGAGAGGGGAGCCTTGCCCTAGCTTCTCTGCCAGGTTCCTTCCCCAAGCACCATTCATTCCCAGGACCCTTAGGGCTCAATATGTATCTCTGCTGGACTCTTCCGAACCCTCCAAGGGCCATGCCAGGTGGTGGGTGGGCTGACCGCTAGGCACTACTGCCCTCAGTGGGGGACAGTCCCATCACAGCCTAGAATTCCCCTAAGGTGGCCCATAGACAGGTTCACTGGACACAGAGTTAATGTAGGTTGGGGTGTCACACAGAAATTAATCACATCAACGGAAAGGACAGTATCACATGGGAGTGTGCAGTCATGAAATTGCAGGGACAGGAAATGTTCACTGCACCCTTAGACAGACAGCTAGGCACCCCAGACCTTGAGGGGCAGGTCTGCTCTGGCCAGTGCAGTGCTTAATTTGTAAGGAAAGAGGTGCTGTGGATCAAGCTACGAACTGCCAGGCCCAGAGGTGCCGGGCTCTGAACTGCCAGGCCCAGC